CGCCCGCCACAACGCCTGGCCATTTTTTGGTTGCAGCCATCATTGTTGTTTGGCGGGCCCAGGTTGGGGATTCGAACCCGCCACCTTAGGTGTATGTGGCTGGCACCTTAGCCACTTGAGCCACAGGCGCTGAGCCACCTAAACCATTTTTTAAAGCTCTTTTTGAAGATCTCATTTCTATTTCTAATTTTTATAGCAAACATTATTATATTAGTGCATATAGTAAATGCTTCCTTGGATAATGGTAATTTCAAATACATGAAACCATAATTAAAGGTGAACCAAGCTGTCACAGATTTGCAACATGTATAAGACAAACAAAATCCAGCTCTTGTTAGTTCACAATAATATAGTTAACATTTTAGGATTGTGAAATGTCTTTGTTATGTTTCCAACATATTTACTATTAAGGAAGAATAAAGAATTGCAAAAACCCAGATCTGGAAAACCTTTAAGGGTTTACATAGCTGAATCACAAGTTTTCTCCCCAAGAAATGTCAATATTTAAGCTAATCTAAGTAAAAACTCAAAAAGAAAACCAGAAACATTACTTGGCAGTTGAAACGAAATCATTCAATTCTCCCCCACCCTCTTCCAAAGCTTCTAAAGTCCTGGCTTCTCCTGTAGACTGCAGACCAATTACAACACACTGGAGAAAAAAATAAACATATTAATTATAAATAAGGTTTGCAATTTCTTACCAAGACATATTTTAAATATTTAGTAAAAAAATTTTTTAAATCCCATTATTGTAAAGCACACTTTTCACTTACTATTTTTTTCTTTTTATTAAGACATATACACATAGATCATGAATACATTTGTGCATGTGGGGTAAAATGTGTTGATTTTTTTATACAATTTGGAATGCTTACATCAAACTAATTAATATAGCTTTCACATCATTTACTTAATTATTCTGTTAAGATATTTATGTTCTAGACTTGATAGATCTCACTTACATCCTTGCGATATGCTCCACAGGTGTGGTCCCCCCCATCATTTACTTCTTTATTCTATATATTTGAGACATATTATATGTCAAAGACTTATGCAGGAAATAGGATTATAGTTGGAAGCATGACTGAAGCCCCTATCCTTGTAGGATTTTCTTTTGTGCTTTATGTAGATACACATCTGCTAAAAAACCCCAAAACTTTAAGGTAATACAATTCACATGTCATCAGTGGCAAATAGCTATGGACAGTCAATTTATAGTGATAAGTATTTTGTTACACTTTTGTAATTTAAAAATATATATATACTTGGAAGTCTTAACATCTGTGTAACTATCCTTTTTAGGAAGACCAGATTTTACAAGTAGAAAATGTCAACATCCACAAATCCTTAATAACATAACCAAAAAGAATCAAATCTCTGAATGAGCTTTCCAACTTACTTTTCCATTCTTGATTTCTTCTCGAGCTAGCTGCACAACTCTTTTAACTTTGGATGCTATGCATAAGTATTTGAAAAACCTCTGGTGAGCAGACCAGAACTGACCCCACATGGACTTCTTCATTCGTTGCTCAGCATCAATGAGATCTGCGGCTTGCTGAAATCGCTCTCTGGCAATGACCCACTGAAGATACATAACATTTCCGATATTTCATCTTTGAGAGCAGTTATTTAGAAATGACTAATTCAATCAAAATAATGTTCACTGCAAGGCCATTTAAAATAATTTAATAAAGCATCTTCTGTAACTTTGGAAACTAAATACATTTGAACCTTCATAGTTGATCACTTTAAGTTGACCCAATTTTCATAAACTGGACATGTACCACATATATGTATCAGTATAGTAGGCCTATTATGCTGACCACCTCTGTATGTTGCCTGGTTTGTTATAATCCCTTGGGTGGTCAACTTACAGAGGTTACTGTTTTTTTTCCTAAGATGATCTGACTTTTCTCAAATTAGGACTGCATCATAACATAGCCAGGTTAGGCATTGTGGTTTTAAAAACTAGGCAACTGGCTCAGTGCCTGTGGCTCAGGCAGCTAAGGCGCCAGCCATATACACCTAAGGTGGCAGGTTCGAATCCAGCCAGGGCCCGCCAAACAACGATGGTTGCAACCAAAAAATAGCCTGGCGTTGTGGTGGGCGCCTGTGGTCCCAGCTACTTGGGAGGCAGAGGCAGGAGACTCACTTGAGCCCAGGAGTTGGAGGTTGTTGTGAGCTGTGAGGCCACGATGCTCTACCCAGGGAGACAGCTTGAGGCTCTGTCTCAAAAAAAAAAAAACAAACTATACAACTGAGTGGCACTCGTGACTGAGTGGATAGGGAGCCAGCCCCATATACCGAGGGTGTCGGGATCTAATCCGGCCCCTGCCAAAATGCAACAAAAAATAGCCAGGCGTTGTAGTAGGTGCCTATAGTCCCAGCTACTCAGGAAGCTGAGGCAAGAGAACCACCTAAGCCCAGGAGCTGGAGGTTGCTGTGAGCTGTGATGCCACAGAACTCTATCGAGGGCAACAAAGTGAAACTCTGTTTCAAAGAAAAAAAAGGAACTATGCAACTGGTCAGGAGCAGTAGCTCATGCCTGTAATTCCAGCACTTGGGAGGCAGAGGCAGGTAGACTGCCTGAGCTCACAGGTTTGAGACCAGCCTAAGCCAGAGCAAGACCTCATCTCTAAAAATAGCCAGGCATTGTGGTGGGCACCTGTAGTCCCAGCTACTTAGGAGGCTGAGGCAAGACTCGCTTAAACCCAGGAGTTTAAGGTTACTGTGAGGTATGATGCCATGGCACTCTACCAAGGGTAACAAAGTGAGACTCTGTCTCAACAAAAAAGAGAAATATGGAACTGATACAAATGCTTTTATGAATTATTTTTAAAAAGTGAAAATTTGGAAAATAAGGATATTGGTTCTATACATTCTAATCTGGTAATTTATCCTTTTTTTTTTTTTTTAAATTCGCAGAAACACATTCCTGGAGGCTGGCAAACATCAACAGACAAAACTCTAACAGATATTATCAGACACCTTAAATAGCAGGAATTAAGAAAAACTTCTTACCAATTTGACCGCTTTATTATACATTTTAACATAGCTCTGAGAAAGAAGAACTTCTTCAATTTTGAAGGTCACACCAGTAAAGCTCAGCTGTCGAGCAATGTACATTCCTCTAAGCTTCATATCCATAGCAACTATTTCCATGGCACCAACACCTCTGAATAAAATTGAAACACACAGTAACTATCAATAAAGTAGATCTGAACACACAGTAACGAGGTTTTTAGCAGCAACACATTTCTCAGTTTGCTGCTGAGACCGGTGTATACCATAAACGCCATTACCTCCGTTCTACTGCTTGAATAAAATCACTGAATTCTCTGAATGGAGTCCCCTCGCCCCATATTCCAAGGCGGTTCATATAGGCCATATTACGTGGTTCAGAAGCACCTGAAAAACCCCCCAAATGAAACATATTATACCTGAAAAAAATAACCTACAGATATCTTTTAAAATAAATAACTACTTACCAGTGGCACTAGCATAAACAACTCTGGCTTTTGGCAATTTGTTCTGAAGCTCTAAAACTGCTAAGCCTGTCTTGGTTGGCTTTGAAGAACCAACAGGACATAAGTTTTTTGCTTTATGACATTCATCAAAAACTATCTATAAGAAACAAATTAAGGAACACATCACATTAATAGTTAAAGGTCTCCATCCTCTATGTAATAGTTAACTTTTATTGCCCTGAGACCTTCAAAGTATCCTTTCCTTTAAGATTAATTACCACTATAAAGGAGGCCCCTTCCCTCTCTCTAGACTGAAAGGCAACCCACTGAATGTGGGATCTATCTTAGCCAGATACTTAGTTCATAATTAGAATGGAAGAAAGAGCCACTATAGCAAGAACACTTATATTTTGGTAAATTCTGTTAGGGTGAAAAGCACGACTGGTAACCAAGTTAATCAGCATTTTGAAACATAGTGTTCCTCAAGCAGGACCAGTATTAGGTATGCTACAGGCAAGTAAGTAAGTTGAGGAATCACTAAATTAATAGTTTTTTTTTTTTCCTTAGTCTTTGTAGATACTTTACCATGTAAATATGTAATGTGAATCCCTGAGTGGGAAATACAGTATTCAGCATTCTCCACACCTATTAATATTTTTCTAAAAGGGGCTTAAATATTGGTCTCCTATCTGATACATAAGAGAATCAACTTCCTAATCTCCTCTGACTCTATATAATCAATAAAGCTCTTACTCCAATAATTTGTTTATTTAACCTCAAGATGCCTGTTTTCCAAAGTTCTATTCTTACATAATTTTTCTGCCATTAAAATGTATGAAAACATTTGCTGTAAAGGATACCACTCCATCGAAGTCATCACCGCACCAATGTAGAAGTTGTTTTAACCTTGTTTTATATTTGCCACCGGACTGGCTCTCACCAATAAGGGAGGAATAAGTAGCAAAAATAACACCCTTTTTCACACTCCCATTATGTTTAGAAGAAATTTTTCCATATTTAAACTAAGAAAAGAAAAGAGAAGAATTAGTATGCCTCTCTCTCAGAAACATTTATTCCACTCAAACTTCTACAAGTTCAATCAGAAACTCATTCAATCTTCATCACAACCCTACAAAATAGTAACTTTTTTTTTTTTGAGACAGAGCCTCAAGCTATTGCCTTGGATAGAGTGCTGTGGCATCACAGTTCACAGCAACCTCCAACTCCTGGGCTCAAGTGATTCTCCTGCCTCTACCTCCCAAGTAGCTGGGACTACAGGCGCCTGCCACAATGCCTGGCTATTTTTTGGCTGCAGCCATCGGTGTTTGGCAGGGCCCGGGCTGGATTCAAACCTGCCAGCTCAGGTGTATGTGGCTGGCTCCTTAGGCGCTTGAGCCACAGGTGCCGAGCCACACAATAGAAATATTATTTCCATCTCACAGATATTTACTACATGACCAACTGAATAGAAAACTCTCATACCTTATTTAATGAATGAACCAAAATGTTTTTTGCTCCAATATCCCTTAAATCTCTTTCAGCATCATACTTTAAGTCATTAGAAACACTAAACCTGTCAAAAAAAAAACAAATGCAAATTCATCAATCTAGCAGAATTCAAGAATAAAGCCAAGTCTTAAGAACACACATTCATTTATATGCATCCCCCACATGCTAAAGTAATTATTCACCAACTAAAACTTTTACTGCCACTCTTTAACTTACCATAATGCTCTTTTTCTACTTAACAAGTAATTTTCATAGATGATTCCTGCTATCGTCCTTCCTTTTCCTACACCAGCACCATCACCTATTAAGAAGCCAGCACGATCTCCATTAGGTAGGAAAGTTTCATGTTGCTGAAAAGGAAATTGTTAGTAATTAATCCTTCTGATATTTTGGTAACCAATCTTTCATACAGTGTTTTAGAAATATATTGATATTACCTATTTTTATATAAATGATATGTAGTTCAGCTTTTTTTTTTTTTTTTTTTTTTTTTTTGACAGAGCCTCGTAACCAAGTTAATCAGCATTTTGAAACATAGTG